CCAACAAAATGGTTTCGTTACCTGAACGGAAAAGGATGCGAGACCCAGCACTGCAGGCTGAACTGGAGCACTGCTTCAGAACAGGGCACTGCAGGTGGAGGCTATAAGCTTTTCTAAGAGAAACAGTGCCTACCAATGGGGCAGAATGGCGAAATTCATTCCAAGCTTTTGGAGAAAACTTCCCAACTCACAGTAGTAAAATTGAATAGTGCTGGGTAACTAAAACAAAAACGAAAGTCAAACCTAAAACAAAACCCAAACCACTTTTTGAGATTATGCTTGCTTTATACCACTAGGGCTTGCTGTTATTGAAAAACACTAGGTGGAACACTCCTACTGTATGAGAAACACTGACAAATAGTCAAATGCACAGAAAACCAAACACAACCGAAATAGCAGCATTAACACGAAAAAAACCCTGCTGAATTAATTGCTCAAATATATATACCGAGCCTTGCTGAAAGGAGTGTCATCAGCCTGGTTTGGTTTCCTCCCTTTAAAGTTTTAAAATAACTGACCTTCAACATCTCACGGAAAAGCATTTCTCTGATGCTACAAAAAAAGCCTTTTCTTACACCGTATTTTAGCCCTGAACTTGCAAAACCCCCCAAACTAACAATTCACCACGTATAGCAATGGAGTTATTCCTCTCCTTGAGCACGAGTCAAGCTAAAGCTATGGAGACAAGAAAAAGAAAAGCGACTTCACGAGGTTCCTTTGGACATTACAGAATCGCAGAGAGGTTTTCTATTAGCTCAGCAAAATGCACACCCAGGGTAGTAGATGCTGAACTGCAGCGAAGCCTGGAGAGAAATGCTTTGCTTTCAGAGATAAAAATTTAAATAAATATTTACATGCAACCAGGCGTCTACAGATTGCCTGATCAGAAGTCCTTATGAAGAAAAAACCCCGGGGGTGTCCTCTCAAGGGACATAAGAAGAACTCCTGGGCTGGGACTCAGCCTGGCTCAGCACGGCTCCGCCCACGGCCTGCAGCCCTTCCACATCTTGGCAACGTCCCCACAGAGCCCAGAGGATTCCAGGGCCGAGGTTCACCTTGGCCATTCTCCTGCACTTCAGGGTGCATTTGCTGTCAGACCTGCCTGTGCAGAGCAGCCACACGCTGCTCAATGGTGCTAAGTCTTGACTCCAGAGCTCTGAATATCGTGTCTACCTGCAAAATAACCAGGGAAAGGTGCTTGGTTATGCACAGAATTTGACAACACAAAGAGCACGCGTGGATGTCAGAGAGGGCTCAAATCCCCTCTCACATCACCAATTCTTTTCACATGATTCTGTCCCTGCTACTTTCATGCTTTGACACCTCACCCAACTCTAATATTCACTGTGCACACAGTAACTTTTTCCAGCCTTGCTAAGTGTCAGAGCCACACACTCAGCTTTTGCTGGACGACCTTCAGCTTCCAAAGTCAAGTTCCTTACACTATTTGCTCCCAGCTCCTCCTACCTGCAGTCACAAATCAACTTGATTTATGATGTAATATTTCAAGACAAAGTTACAGCAAAAATATTAAGTCCATTTGCACAAAAGGCAGAAAAGATAAGTGAAGATCTGAGGAGGTGAATCAGAAGCAACTAGAAACAACATATCAAATGACTGAGACGTAAATAGGAACCTAATGTTGTGCTTGACCCACAGAAAATGCTAATTACAATGAAAATTGAAGGAAAAGTTACTGAAAATCTTGCATAACACAAGATACCAATGACATGAAGCCATCCAGTACACATTACAATGCACGGAATTGCTCTGGGTGAAATAAGCTGTTCTGCAGAATCTATTGAAGTATATTAAGGTTTCATACAGGTGATACAAACAAAGAATGACATAAGGTTAAATCTCACCCTTTCCAGCACCTCTTCCAAGACAGCCTGACTTTCAAGAGTAAGAGGTTCCTCATGAAGAACAGCTTCATTTTCTGGGGTTCCTAGAATATAACTGAGATGCCACAGTTTAGGTCATGTACTTCCCACTCTGAAGCTAAAAACCCAAACATAGCACTGCTCCAGAGCCCTGAGAGACAGCCACGGACTCTGTCTGGGGCTACAGGATACAGTGAGAAATTGCACAGACACCAAGAACAGTGCAGCATTGGGAGAAGCAGCATGACTCTCCAAGAAAGTGCCATTCTGCAGCCAGGTTAGTGCTCAGAGAATTTGACTGTCATGGAAAAAAAAAAGTATCACAGCTGTGGAATGAAGAAAAAACCCAAAAGCACTGTCCAGAGTACAACAGTGAATATCCACAGCAATTCAGCAAAATAAATGGGAACTTCAGAAAAAGACAGAGACATTAAAACTAGTCCAGATGAACAACCACTGTCTATTAAAACAACGCTTGCATGAAAGAACTGTGGTGTGGAGCCTAAATTCAGGATATAGTTATTGAAGAATACTTTAAGACCACTTTTAAGTTCTATAAACCAACTAAACCCAAGCACACTTTCATTTTCTAGACACATTTGAAGACGGCTGAGTGAAAGCCTCAAGCACATACTCACTTGTCAGATTTGGTTTTGCCCACCTTAGCAAGAACAGAGCAGATGTAGCCAGTACAGGTCAGACCCACCCCAAGTCCTGCCTGAGCCCCTCAGGCCACACTTACTGCTGATAATGCTGACCCCACACAGGCTCCAGCCAGACCTATTTGGTGCTTGGTTTGTGTACTCTTCTGATCAATGAGAAGGAACCCTCCCATGCCCTGGACCTGGTGATATTTTCTTGGCTGGAATGCAATTTCTCATACAAAAGGCAGGCCTGGTTGTTTTGGGGTTTTTTTTCCTTAGGATTTGCCTTACACAGGTTCCTCACAACTGAGCACTATGATGCCAATAGCAGCAATACAGAGCAGCAGAAAAAGCTGCCTCTAGACTTGCCAGAGTATAACACGAGCACCCTCAGTGCGATGCCTGGTGAGTGAAGTGGAGCTGGCAGCCTGACCCATAAACAGTCTGCATTTACCTTTCAACAGAGTCAACGCTGAAACAGAACAAATCTCTCTTGTAGTCGATATGCCGTGAGGTACACCTGTAGATGCTGCCAAGTGTCCTTGAGCAGCCAGAGCAGAATAAGGTTTCTACCATGCTGTAAGTAAGAAATAACACTTATTCAGAAGAAAATAAAAGGAAGCACCCCTCCCCATCCCTTTTCTTAAAAAAAAAAAATCAGGCATTAGAATTCTTTTAAGCATTCATTCTTGCTTTACACAGTGTAAATTATGAGCACTCATCTTTCAGCCTGAATTTGCAACAGCTCCTCAGGCTGATGGACCTCAGCAAGACCTTCAGAATCACTAAACTGTGGAAGGGACCTTCAAGCTCATCCAGTGCCACCCCCTGCCATGGGCAGGGAAAGCTTCCACTATCCCACATTGCTCCAAGCCCCAGTGTCCAGCCCGGCTTTGCACAATTCCAGGGATCCAGGAGCAGCCAGAGCTTCTCTGGGCACCCTGTGCCAGGGCCTCCCCACCTTGCCAAGGAACACTTGCTTCCTGATATTTAATCTAAACCTGCTTTCCTTCATCCTAAGGCCACTCTCCTTGTCTATGACATGTCTACGACATGTCCTTGTGAGAAATCCCTCTGCCTTATCCCATAAGCAGAACGTACAGACCACCCCAAGTAAGTGCTCCAGGGGTTCTCGGGGCCACACGAGCACTCCGGGCCCTTTACCCGGCCTGTCCTCAGCGCCTTCCCCGGGAACTCCCGACTGCCCCGGGACTGTGCTCAGCCAGGACCGGCGCTCACCATCCGTATTCGCCGGGGAGCTTGGACACCTTCCGCTCCGGGTCCACGGCGACGCTGGCAGTCGCACCTGCAGCGGGAGGGAGGGATGGATGGAGGGAGGGATGGCGGCAGTGACCGCGGGGACGCGCCGGGGTGGCAGGGCCGGCACTCACTGCGCAGCAGGATGCAGCCGCTCTCCTCGTCATTGAACGCCCAGCTCGAGGTGTCGCCCACGGGCCGCCTGCAGCCGCCGCACAGGAACACCATGGGCATGGGGGCCGCCCCCGCCGGCTGCTCTCGCTGCTGCTGCTCGGCCAGGCCGCCGCCCGGCTCCAGCAGCGACAGCGAGCTCTCCAGCTCCGAGCACTGCGCCATCGTGTCCCGCCCGCCCGCCGAGGGAGCGGCAGCGGCCCCCACTCCCGACATCGCCTTCGAATCGCCCGCCGAGGAAGCGGCAGTGACGCCGGACACCGCCCCGGACCGCCCGCCCGCCAAGGCCCGCCCCGGAACCGCTCCCGGTTCCTGCCCCGGGCCGCCCGCCCGCCAAGGCCCGCCCCGGAACCGCTCCCGGTTCC